CCATGATTTTTAAACTCTTGCGTAAGGCCGAAGTCTCTTGCATCGTCATGATCTTAAGCCACTGCTCTTAGTGTATCTTAGAGTCAGCTAATGCGCGGTACCTTTTTTTTGACCGAATTGTATTCAGTATATTTTATTTTGAATATTATATACCAATTTTAGACATATAATTTAAAACCGAACGGTCGTTCGATCCGGGTGACTAACGAAAATAGGCTCGAATATATTTACCTGGTGTCATCTTTTTACTTGAATCAGAGGGTAAGTGGTTTTGCTTTAAGTCTACGACAATAAGTGTTATTTTGCGTTTGTGTTTAGATCAAGGCCCAGACCACTGCGTTCTTGCAGGGCGTTTCGTCTGTGATTGATTTAGACTGGTTGCTAATGTTTGATTGCCACGAGTTGCAGATCCTTGTAGCTGGAGATGAAGGCGAGATCGACATCGAAGATCTAAGGCGTAATACTGTGTATAGCGGTAAGAACTTGATATTTTATTATTTGCGTTGTATTTTGAAGTACATGATATCTTGACATTTTTGGGTGATTATTCCAGTAGCAAAGCAATAATCTGCATTTGTTAATCAAATTGATGTTGCACCGAGAACTGTCTTGTTTTAGTTATTAAATGATTCATTTCCCAGTCGCGGGTTGTATCAGACGTTGAGAAGACGCGCAACCCGCTCATGAACTTCTGACTTTGGCGCTGCTGCTACTGGCGCATTACAGTTGAGATAAAGCAGATGAGATTGAAATACCAATGAAATAGTATTAGCAAAAACAGCCTATGATGTCACATATTAATGTATGTGTATAATGTTCAATTATTTAAAATTAGCCTTTTCTGTTTTTTCCTGTCTCTAATTTTTCTGGAAACAAATGATATGGTACGCCGGAGATAAGATTCACTCTTATCCGAAATCTCGGGAAATCTGCCATTCATTGATATTTTCTATTTTTGTCGTACAGTGGACAAATATTTCTCAAAGTTTCTGACTTGCAGCATACTTGAAATCGATCAACGTAAAGGCTGGTAAAAAGTGATGCACTTTATTTGCTAAATTGCGATACAAAGTTTCTTACTGACAGAAATGAGTGTCTTCTCCCCCAGGACGCAAAATTGCATGAAGTTTTTTGAATCTTATTTGATAGTAATGCATTGAGATTATAGTACTTTTAGACTTTACAGAAGATCATCCGGGTATCCATATGTTCTGGTCAGTAGTCAGATCTTTTACAGAAGAACAGAAGAAAAAGTTGCTTAAATTTGTCACGAGCTGTTCTCGACCGCCTCTGCTTGGATTTAAAGTAATGCATTGTTGTGAATGCTGTCATTGTTCTATAAACGCGATTCAGGATCGATGCTTTCTAATTGTGATGTGTGTCATCATTGTCTAGAGTTAAACAGTGCAATTTTTGAAAGGACAGAACGCTGACCAGCTTCGATTAATTGTCTGACCTGATCAGAATAATGTTTCGAGCTGATCTTCCTTGTCATTAGCGATTTCCGTCATCATCCAATTTCTCACTGGTTTTAATTTTTCTGGTACACATAGACACTTAGTTTCGTGAAATAATCGAGCGACTGAATTTCCCGCCAGAAGAAAATGTGCATGCATTCTGTGCAGCCATGCATCATTGTTGTCGCAGTAATCGGCCTTCCTTGTCTCTCTCTCCTTGGAGTAGACGGAGCTAGAAATCTGATGGATCCAGTCCTGAAACATGATTGGCTTATGTACCTCATTCTGCTTGCGAATGGACATTCAACAAACTTTATGCAGTTCCGTCTGTTATACCCTGTCAAGGTAGAGGTATCTGCCGGTTGATCGAGGAGATGCAATTCCCTGTTGTGCACTAATACTGCTTAGCGACCAACTGCGCCGTTGCTGGTTCCAAGCCCTGTTGAAACAGGAGAGCGTTGGAGACCGTGCCGAAGTCTCCATTCAGCTTCGCCACCTGCCTCACAGAATTGATGCATCGAAAATTATGCGGGCTCGGTTGTCGCCCGTGTTACCAAGGGCTGCGCAGGCTATTGAGGGACTGAAGCAGACCCCAT